TGCTGGTACTAATGTAAGAATCTACTGGTACTAATGTAAGAATCTACTGGTACTAATGTAAGAATCTGCTGGTACTAATGTGAGAATCTACTGGTACTAATGTAAGAATCTACTGGTACTAATGTGAGAATCTACTGGTACTAATGTAAGAATCTACTGGTACTAATGTAAGAATCTGCTGGTACTAATGTGAGAATCTACTGGTACTAATGTAAGAATCTACTGGTACAAATGTGAGAATCTACTGGTACTAATGTAAGAATCTACAGGTACTAATGTAAGAATCTTCTGGTACTAATGTAAGAATCTACTTGTATTAATGTAAGAATCTGCTGGTTCTAATGTGAGAATCAACTGGTACTAATGTAAGAATCTACTGGTACTAATGTAAGAATCAACTGGTACTAATGTAAGAATCTGCTGGTACTAATGTAAGAATCTACTGGTACTAATGTAAGAATCTTCTGGTACTAATGTGAGAATCTACTGGTACTAATGTAAGAATGTACTAATGTAAGAATCTACTGGTACTAATGTAAGAATCTACTGGTACTAATGTAAGAATCAACTGGTACTAATGTAAGAATTTACTGGTACTAATGTGAGAATCTACTCGTACTAATGTAAGAATCTACTGGTATTAATGTAAGAATCTACTGGTACTAATGTAAGAGTCTACTTGTACTAATGTGAGAATCTACTGGTACTAATGTAAGAATTTACTGGTACTAATGTAAGAATCTACTGGTAAAATGTAAGAATCTGCTGGTACTAATGTAAGAATCTGCTGGTACTAATGTAAGAATCTACTGGTACTAATGTGAGAATCTACTGGTACTAATGTAAGAATCTACTGGTACTAATGTAAGAATCTACTGGTACTAATGTAAGAATCTACTGGTACTAATGTAAGAATCTACTGGTACTAATGTAAGAATCTGCTGGTACTAATGTAAGAATCTACTGGTACTAATGTAAGAATCTACTGGTACTAATGTAAGAATCTACTTGTACTAATGTAAGAATCTACTGGTACTAATGTAAGAATCTACTGGTACTAATGTAAGAATCTACTGGTACTAATGTGAGAATCTACTGGTACTAATGTAAGAATCTACTGGTACTAATGTAAGAATCTACTGGTACTAATGTGAGAATCTACTGGTACTAACGTAAGAATGTACTGGTACTAATGTAAGAATCAACTGGTACTAATGTAAAAATCTACTGGTACTAATGTGAGAATCTGCTGGTACTAATGTGAGAATCTACTGGTACTAATGTAAGAAGGTACTAATGTAAGAATCTACTGGTACTAATGTAAGAATCTACTGGTACTAATGTAAGAATCTACTGGTACTAATGTAAGAATCTACTGGTACTAATGTAAGAATCTACTGGTACTAATGTGAGAATCTGCTGGTACTAATGTAAGAATCTACTGGTACTAATGTAAGAATCTACTGGTACTAATGTAAGAATCTGCTGGTACTAATGTGAGAATCTACTGGTACTAATGTAAGAATCTACTGGTACTAATGTGAGAATCTACTGGTACTAATGTAAGAATCTACTGGTACTAATGTAAGAATCTACTGGTACTAATGTAAGAATCTACTGGTATTAATGTAAGAATCTGCTGGTTCTAATGTGAGAATCAACTGGTACTAATGTAAGAATCTACTGGTACTAATGTAAGAATCAACTGGTACTAATGTAACAATCTAATGGTACTAATGTAAGAATCTACTAGTACTAATGTAAGAATCTACTGGTACTAATGTAAGAATCTACTGGTACTAATGTAAGAATCTACTCTGTATTAATGTAAGAATCTACTGGTACTAATGTAAGAATCTACTCGTATTAATGTAAGAATCTACTGGTACTAAAGTAAGAATCTGCTGGTACTAATGTAAGAATCTACTGGTACTAATGTAAGAATCTATTGGTACTAATGTAAGAATCTGCTGGTACTAATGTGAGAATCTACTGGTACTAATGTGAGAATCTACTGGTACTAATGTAAGAATCTACTGGTACTAATGTAAGAATCAACTGGTAGTAATGTAAGAATCTACTGTTACTAATGTGTGAATCTGCTGGTACTAATGTAAGAATCTACTGGTACTAATGTAAGAATCTACTGGTACTAATGTCAGAATCTGCTGGTACTAATGTGAAAATCCACTGGTACTAATGTAAGAATCTACTGGTACAAATGTGAGAATCTACTGGTACTAATGGAAGAATCTACAGGTACTAATGTAAGAATCTCCTGGTACTAATGTAAGAATCTACTGGTATTAATGTAAGAATCTGCTGGTTCTAATGTGAGAATCAAGTGGTACTAATGAAAGAAATTTACTGGTACTAATGTAAGAATCAACTGGTACTAATGTAACAATCTAATGGTACTAATGTAAGAATCTACTGGTACTAATGTAAGAATCTGCTGGTACTAATGTGAGAATCTACTGGTACTAATGTAAGAATCTACTGGTACAAATGTGAGAATCTACTGGTACTAATGTAAGAATCTACAGGTACTAATGTAAGAATCTACTGGTACTAATGTAAGAATCTACTGGTATTAATGTAAGAATCTGCTGGTTCTAATGTGAGAATCAACTGGTACTAATGTAAGAATCTACTGGTACTAATGTAAGAATCAACTGGTACTAATGTAACAATCTAATGGTACTAATGTAAGAATCTACTAGTACTAATGTAAGAATATACTGGTACTAATGTAAGAATCTACTGGTACTTATGTAAGAATCTACTGGTACTAATGTAAGAATCTACTGGTACTAATGTAAGAATCTGCTGGTACTAATGTAAGAATCTATTGGTACTAATGTAAGAATCTGCTGGTACTAATGTGAGAATCTACTGGTACTAATGTGAGAATCTACTGGTACTAATGTAAGAATCTACTGGTACTAATGTAAGAATCAACTGGTAGTAATGTAAGAATCTACTGTTACTAATGTGTGAATCTGCTGGTACTAATGTAAGAATCTACTGGTACTAATGTAAGAATCTACTGGTACTAATGTCAGAATCTGCTGGTACTAATGTGAAAATCCACTGGTACTAATGTAAGAATCTACTGGTACAAATGTGAGAATCTACTGGTACTAATGGAAGAATCTACAGGTACTAATGTAAGAATCTCCTGGTACTAATGGAAGAATCTACAGGTACTAATGTAAGAATCTACTGGTACTAATGTAAGAATCTACTGGTACTAATGTAAGAACAACTGGTACTAATGTAAGAATCTACTGGTACTAATGTAAGAATCTACTGGTACTAATGTAAGAATCTACAGGTACTAATCTGAGAATCTACTGGTACTAATGTAAGAATCTGCTGGTACTAATGTAAGAATCTACTGGTACTAATGTGAGAATCAACTGGTACTTATGTAAGAATCTACTGGTACTAATGTAAGAATCTACTGGTACTAATGTAAGAATCAACTGGTACTAATGTAAGAATCTACTGGTACTAATGTAAGAATCTACTGGTACTAATGTAAGAATCTACTGGTACTAATGTAAGAATCTACTGGTACTAATGTAAGAATCTACTGGTACTAATGTAAGAATCTACTGGTACTAATGTAAGAATCTACTGGTACTAATGTAAGAATCTACTGGTACTAATGTAAGAATCTTCTGGTACTAATGTAAGAATCTACTGGTACTAATGTAAGAATCTACTGGTACTAATGTAAGAATCTACTGGTACTAATGTAAAAATCTACTGGTACTAATGTAAGAATCTACTGGTACTAATGTAAGAATCTACAGGTACTAATGTGAGAATCTACTGGTACTAATGTAAGAATCTACTGGTACTAATGTAAGAATCAACTGGTACTAATGTAAGAATCTACTGGTACTAATGTAAGAATCTACTGGTACTAATGTAAGAATCTACTGGTACTAATGTAAGAATCTACTGGTACTAATGTAAGAATCTACTGGTACTAATGTAAGAATCAACTGGTACTAATGTAAGAATCTACTGGTACTAATGTAAAATCTACTGGTACTAATGTGAGAATCAACTGGTACTTATGTAAGAATCTACTGGTACTAATGTAAGAATCTACTGGTACTAATGTAAGAATCTACAGGTACTAATGTAAGAATCTACAGGTACTAATGTAAGAATGTACTGGTACTAATGTAAGAATCTACTGGTACTAATGTAAGAATCGTACTTCTTCCACCTGTAATTGATCGGATTCGATTGTTCGATAAAACATCCGCTCCACGCCTCACAGACACATCCAGAGTGAGGTTTTATAAACACTGTGTGTATTACTGAATGTGTTACTGTTGAAGTTGAAATTTCGTGTTCTCGGTTTGTCTGGAGATTTGTACCTCGTGCCCGGGACAAGTGTTGGAATCGGTTGATCCACGCCTCTGAATGTACATACTTGAAATTTCCCTTTTTCACATTTAATGAAAATAAAAATAATTTAACTGAATTTAAACCACTAGGGAAAGTTATGTCCTTTGAGCTTGGAAGTGTGTTATTAGCATAACTGAATAACTGCCCTAGGGCAATTATTTCTATTTAAAAGCTCACAACGGTAGTTATTTAAATAACTACCTTGTAAGGGTGATTAACCTATATATGCACAAAGATTTGGAGTTGAACATTTTCATTGTTACTGTTTTCTTGACATCAATATTTCTCTCTTCATTTAGAGATGCTATTCATGATCACGCTGTGATCCTCTGCCCATTATACACAGTGGCTGTCAGATTTAGTCGTGCTTCCCCTATATGTATCGGTGTTGTTCCGTAACAGTGGTGGGCAATGCACTCCAGCTGATGCTCTACAATTGCAAGTGAAATATGAAATCTCCCTCGCTATATTCTCACGCCAGAGTATTTGAGATAAACTATTATCAACGTCAGTCGATAGTTTCAACCTCAGAGGCTTGCCCAGTGATAGAATCTGTTTATCGTCCAAAGTTTTTCTAGCAACGTTTTATAGTTTGTAAATTTTAGACGAAAAAAAGGCGAGGAACTTGTTTATCGTTTATGAGATAGCTACGCTGTAAAACGCAAAAAACAGTGAAGAACGAGGTTAGGACTTTTTCACGATAAGATGTTGATCTTTAATGAGGTTTCTGGAAATTCGGTGTGTCCGCCTTGTGGTTGAAGCGTTCGCTTGTCACGCCGAATACCCGGGTTCTATTCCCCACGTGGGTACAATGTGTGAAACCAATTTCTGGTGTCCCCCGCCGTGATATTACAAAAATATTGCTAAAAGCGGCGTAAAACTGAACGCTCTCACTCACCCAAGCATTGCCCGAGCTGTTGGAACAAATTCCACAGACGCAGCAACAGCATGTGGCTGCCTCGTTGACGTACCGAGAAACGTGGACGACAGGCCAGTTGTAACGAAGCATCGATGGCTGTTGCCCTTCTGAAGATAACATCTCTAATCACGTAGTGTTTTGATGAACATTAAAATGCGTCCATTTGCGCAATTAGATGTTTGCACCTTCAGGCCTTGTGTAAGCGTTATGTGCAGTTGAACGAAAGTGGTTTATGAACACCAGACAGCTAAACAACCACTGTTCGCTGTTCACATTTAAGAGTGAGTGAGTGAGTTTAGTTTTACGCCGCACCCAGCAATATTCCACCTAGATCAACAGCAAGAACATCGATCTACGCAATTGGGATACGATGACGTGTCAACCCAGTCAGCGAGCCTGACCATCCGATCCCGTTAGTCGCCTTTACGTCACGTTTAAGACACCCACGTATGTAGTTATCGTTCCTACAACAACCACTCAAAGGTCAAAATACATGCATGCACATGCCGGTAGAAATTGTGACTTAAGACCTAACAGTGGAGATGAACATGTACCGGAGACACATTACTTAATTTCAAAATAAATCTCTTCTTATCGAAGGTTTTGATGAAGTACAGATACATTTTCTAGTTGGCATGGTAACATTTACAATCGGTTTGACAAAGAGATCATTGCAGGACACTCGTACGCATGTTCTTTCTGATCGGGTGGTCAGGCTCGCTGACTGGGTTGACACGTCATCGGTTCCCAATTGCGCAGACCGATGCTCCTGCTGTTGATCACTGGATTGTCTGGCCCAGACTCGATTATTTACAGACCGCCGCCATATAGCTTGAATATTGCTTAGTGTGGCGTAAAACTAAACCTATACTCACTCACTCACTCCCAGACGCGGAATCTGCCGCTCATCTGTCGTGGCGTAATCATGTTGGAGTAAACTGACGCTGGCAGCAGATCCCGATACAGCCAAGGGAGTCAACGTTGCTTAGTATATCTGTGTATCCCACAAAGATGTACGTGTGCATTCACGGCCAGTCGCCAGGAGAAACTCTGTATAACGACACTGTATATCACTGTATATCATGAAGCGTGAACTAAACGTAATGCCAGTTATTGTCGTAGCCCATTACATCGCGTTGTGTTGCAGTAATTGCACGTGGAAGACATCAAATATAACAGTTGCATTGACCAGATAAGTGCAACCTACACTCTCAGATATTAACTTGCTACAACAGTAAGTAATTTCGCAAGCACTATCATTTCGATACTGCTTTGAAACTATAGATGAGGCTAACCCAAATATCCCTGTCTAGACACACGAGCTGTACAAGCTGTAATTTCAACACAATTAACTACAAAGTAAACTGGAACAACAGTTTCCTTGTCTCGTATACAGACCTATATACTGAACAGACCTATATACTGAACAGACCTATATACTGAACAGACCTATATACTGAACAGACCTATATACTGAACAGACCTATATACTGAACAGACCTATATACTGAACAGACCTATATACTGAACAGACCTATATACTGAAACTGTAAAAGGATTTTGAGTGTTGTGAATAAACGAAGCGTTTTAGAAACGTTTCACAAGTGTATAATCGACATTTTGCTTTGCTTCCCACCCAGACTGGTAATGCAGCAACGGAGGGGGATAATTTGGACACCAGGACACCTACATGACAAACTTCTAGGGTCTTTCCACATGACGCCATGGGGAAAATATAAAGAGAGAGATTCCGCTGTTAACATGTTCTAAGCCAGACCCCTACAATGTGACAAGCAACACAGAGCTGTTAACATGTTCTAACCCAGATCCCTACAATGTGACAAGCAACACAGAGCTGTTAACATGTTCTAACCAAGATCCCTACAATGAGACAAGCAACACAGAGATGTTAACATGTTCTAACCCAGATCCCTACAATGTGACAAGCAACACAGAGCTGTTAACATGTTCTAACCCAGATCCCTACAATGTGACAAGCAACACAGAGCTGTTAACATGTTCTAACCCAGATCCCTACAATGTGACAAGCAACACAGAGCTGTTAACATGTTCTAACCCAGATCCCTACAATGAGACAAGCAACACAGAGCTGTTAACATGTTCTAACCCAGATCCCTACAATGAGACAAGCAACACAGAGCTGTTAACATGTTCTAACCCAGATCCCTACAATGTGACAAGCAACACAGAGCTGTTAACATGTTCTAACCCAGATCCCTACAATGAGACAAGCAACACAGAGCTGTTAACATGTTCTAACCCAGATCCCTACAATGAGACAAGCAACACAGAGCTGTTAACATGTTCTAACCCAGATCCCTACAATGAGACAAGCAACACAGAGCTGTTAACATGTTCTAATCCAGATCCCTACAATGTGACAAGCAACACAGAGCCATTAACATGTTCTAACCCAGATACCTACGTGACAAGCAACACAGAGCTGTTAACATGTTCTAACCCAGATCCCTACAATGTGACAAGCAACACAGAGCTGTTAACATGTTCTATCCCAGATCCCTACAATGTGACAAGCAACACAGAGCCATTAACATGTTCTAACCCAGATCTCTACAATGAGACAAGCAACACAGAGCTGTTAACATGTTCTAACCCAGACCCCTACAATGAGACAAGCAACACAGAGCTGTTAACGTGTTCTAAGCAGATCCCTACAATGTGACAAGCAACACAGAGATGTTAACGTGTTCTATCCCAGATCCCTACAATGTGACAAGCAACACAGAGCTGTTAACATGTTCTAACCCAGATCCCTACAATGTGACAAGCAACACAGAGCTGTTAACGTGTTCTAACCCAGATACCTACAATGTGACAAGCAACACAGAGCTGTTAACGTGTTCTAACCCAGATCCCTACAATGAAACAAGCAACACAGAGCTGTTAACATGTTGTAACCCAGATACCTACAATGTGACAAGCAACACAGAGCTGTTAACATGTTGTAACCCAGATACCCTACAATGTGACAAGCAACACAGAGCTGTTAACATGTTCTAACCCAGATCCCTACAATGAGACAAGCAACACAGAGCCATTAACATGTTCTAACCCAGATCCCTACAATGTGACAAGCAACACAGAGCCATTAACATGTTCTAGATCCCTACAATGAGACAAGCAACACAGAGCTGTTAACATGTTCTAACCCAGATACCTACAATGAGACAAGCAACACAGAGCTGTTAACATGTTCTATCCCAGATCCCTACAATGTGACAAGCAACACAGAGCTGTTAACATGTTCTAACCCAGATCCCTACAATGAGACAAGCAACACAGAGATGTTAACGTGTTCTAACCCAGATCCCTACAATGTGACAAGCAACACAGAGATGTTAACGTGTTCTATCCCAGATCCCTACAATGTGACAAGCAACACAGAGCTGTTAACATGTTCTAACCCAGATCCCTACAATGTGACAAGCAACACAGAGCTGTTAACGTGTTCTAACCCAGATCCCTACAATGTGACAAGCAACACAGAGCTGTTAACGTGTTCTAACCCAGATACCTACAATGTGACAAGCAACACAGAGCTGTTAACGTGTTCTAACCCAGATCCCTACAATGTGACAAGCAACACAGAGCTGTTAACATGTTCTAACCCAGATCCCTACAATGTGACAAGCAACACAGAGCTGTTAACATGTTCTAACCCAGATCCCTACAATGTGACAAGCAACACAGAGATGTTAACGTGTTCTAACCCAGATCCCTACAATGTGACAAGCAACACACAGCTGTTAACGTGTTCTAATCCAGATACCTACAACGTGACAAGCAACACAGAGCTGTTAACATGTTCTAACCCAGATCCCTACAATGAGACAAGCAACACAGAGATGTTAACATGTTCTAACCCAGATCCCTACAATGTGACAAGCAACACAGAGATGTTAACATGTTCTAACCCAGATCCCTACAATGTGACAAGCAACACAGAGCTGTTAACATGTTCTAACCCAGATCCCTACAATGTGACAAGCAACACAGAGCTGTTAACATGTTCTAACCCAGATCCCTACAATGAGACAAGCAACACAGAGCTGTTAACATGTTCTAACCCAGATCCCTACAATGTGACAAGCAACACAGAGCTGTTAACGTGTTCTAACCCAGATCCCTACAATGTGACAAGCAACACAGAGCCATTAACATGTTCTAAGCTCCAGATATCTACAATGAGACAAGCAACACAGAGCTGTTAACATGTTCTCACCCAGATCCCTACAATGAGACAAGCAACACAGAGCTGTTAACATGTTCTAACCCAGCTTCCTACAATGAGACAAGCAACACAGAGCTGTTAACATGTTGTAACCCAGATCCCTACAATGAGACAAGCAACACAGAGCTGTTAACATGTTCTAACCCAGATCCCTACAATGTGACAAGCAACACAGAGCCATTAACATGTTCTAACCCAGATCCCTACAATGAGACAAGCAACACAGAGCTGTTAACATGTTCTAACCCAGATACCTACAATGTGACAAGCAACACAGAGCTGTTAACATGTTCTAACCCAGATCCCCACAATGAGACAAGCAACACAGAGCTGTTAACATGTTCTAACCCAGATCCCTACAATGAGACAAGCAACACAGAGCTGTTAACATGTTCTAACCCAGATCCCTACAATGAGACAAGCAACACAGAGCTGTTAACATGTTCTAACCCAGATCCCTACAATGAGACAAGCAACACAGAGCTGTTAACATGTTCTAACCCAGCTTCCTACAATGAGACAAGCAACACAGAGCTGTTAACATGTTGTAACCCAGATCCCTACAATGAGACAAGCAACACAGAGCTGTTAACATGTTCTAACCCTGATCCCTACAATGTGACAAGCAACACAGAGCCATTAACATGTTCTAACCCAGATCCCTACAATGAGACAAGCAACACAGAGCTGTTAACATGTTCTAACCCAGATCCCTACAATGTGACAAGCAACACAGAGCTGTTAACATGTTGTAAACCTAGATCCCTACAATGAGACAAGCAACACAGAGCTGTTAACATGTTCTAACCCAGATCCCTACAATGTGACAAGCAACACAGAGCTGTTAACGTGTTCTAACCCAGATCCCTACAATGTGACAAGCAACACAGAGATGTTAACATGTTCTAACCCAGATCCCTACAATGTGACAAGCAACACAGAGATGTTAACATGTTCTAACCCAGATCCCTACAATGTGACAAGCAACACAGAGCTGTTAACATGTTCTAACCCAGATCCCTACAATGAGACAAGCAACACAGAGCTGTTAACATGTTCTAACCCAGATCCCTACAATGAGACAAGCAACACAGAGCTGTTAACATGTTCTAACCCAGATCCCTACAATGTGACAAGCAACACAGAGCTGTTAACGTGTTCTAACCCAGATCCCTACAATGTGACAAGCAACACAGAGCCATTAACATGTTCTAACCCAGATATCTACAATGAGACAAGCAACACAGAGCTGTTAACATGTTCTAACCCAGATCCCTACAATGAGACAAGCAACACAGAGCTGTTAACATGTTCTAACCCAGATACCTACAATGAGACAAGCAACACAGAGCTGTTAACATGTTGTAACCCAGATCCCTACAATGAGACAAGCAACACAGAGCTGTTAACATGTTCTAACCCAGATCCCTACAATGTGACAAGCAACACAGAGCTGTTAACATGTTCTAACCCAGATCCCTACAATGAGACAAGCAACACAAAGATGTTAACGTGTTCTAACCCAGATCCCTACAATCAGACAAGCTTGAGATCGATGGAAACTTTTAACCATGGTATCAAGATGTTTGATAAGGAACCAATAGCTGGGGACAATTTTAAATAATAACTGACCCATTCATGAGAAAATATTTAATGATTTGTACAAGAAATATACAAATGTCATGGGCTGACTGCATTGTTCTCCTCAATAGTGCACTCACACAATGGAGCGGCTGTTCTAACACAACACAGTCTCACCACAGCGTCTTTTGACAACAAATTTATCAACTCAAGTCGATGTAAGTTTGCACCTCGAGATGATGTCACTATGATCTGCAAAGCATTGTGGTGCTCTTTCATGGTATTGATGCTCCCATGAGGAAACCTGCTTGGGTGTTCACAACCTCCCTTACTTGGGGGCCTGAATGAGTGTTGTGTCCTGACTGGGCCAGTCTCACACACCATGTACCTTGTGTGCTGGGTCCCATTACTCCTGCTGCTGTGTTCAAAGGGAGATAACTTCATCTGTGTTTCATAAGGAAGTGACTCTCCTCCAACTGGTTCAGACCCCTGCCTTGACAGTGGCAGTGCCTGTATTGGGTTTGACTGTGCTTACTGACAGAACAGTCACATTGGTCAAACACACTGCTTACACAATATTTTTTATGACAAGGAGTTGCAAGGTGAAACGTTCCCTCAACCATCCTACAGAAAGTCTCCACATATTGCTTGAACCATTTCTTTTGGAAGTCAAATTTAGTTTCCATGGCTAGCATATCTGAAAAACAACTCCGGGCCATTTTTCTCCATGTATATGATATCATTTCTATGTTGGTGAGACCTTGGTGCTCTAGGGTTGGACTCAAGGTATGGATACCCAGTTTATAGTCATTGTATCTGACTGGAATTCTGTGAAATCATAGCTGAGAACAAAATCTCTCAACTGGGTCAAACCAAATATCAAAATATACACACACAAAATCATATGCAATTCCAACACATACATACTTGGTACATGCACTTGTCATAACAATAACTGAGGAAATGGTTGAGTAATTTCCAAAAAAGCCAGGCATAAACATGGATCGGAATTGTGTGAGCCATTTCAGCCTGTTCAGACAGCCTTTCACAGCTGAGATCTGTCATAACAAGTCCCAGCTCCACACCTTTCACAGCTGAGATCTGTCATACCAAGTCCCAGCTCCACACCTTTCACAGCTGAGATCTGTCATACCAAGTCCCAGCTCCACACCTTTCACAGCTGAGATCTGCCATAACAAGTCCCAGCTCCACAGCTTTCACAGCTGAGATCTGTCATACCAAGTCCCAGCTTCACACCTTTCACAGCTGAGATCTGTCATAACAAGTCCAAGCTCCACACCTTTCACAGCTGAGATCTGTCATAACAAGTCCAAGCTCCACACCTTTCACAGCTGAGATCTGTCATACCAAGTCCCAGCTCCACACCTTTCACAGCTGGGATCTGTCATACCAAGTCCCAGCTCCACACCTTTCACAGCTGAGATCTGTCATACCAAGTCCCAGCTCCACACCTTTCACAGCTGAGATCTGTCATACCAAGTCCTAGCTCCACACCTTTCACAGCTGAGATCTGTCATACCAAGTCCCAGCTCCACACCTTTCACAGCTGAGATCTGTCATACCAAGTCCAAGCTCCACACCTTTCACAGCTGAGATCTGTCATACCAAGTCCAAGCTCCACACCTTTCACAGCTGAGATCTGTCATAACAAGTCCCAGCTCCACACCTTTCACAGCTGAGATCTGTCATACCAAGTCCCAGCTCCACACCTTTCACAGCTGAGATCTGTCATACCAAGTCCCAGCTCCACACCTTTCACAGCTGAGATCTGTCATACCAAGTCCAAGCTCCACACCTTTCACAGCTGAGATCTGTCATACCAAGTCCCAGCTCCACACCTTTCTCACAGCTGAGATTTGTCATAACAAGTCCCAGCTCCACACCTTTCACAGCTGAGATCTGTCATACCAAGTCCCAGCTCCACACCTTTCACAGCTGAGATCTGTCATAACAAGTCCCAGCTCCACACCTTTCACAGCTGAGATCTGTCATACCAAGTCCCAGCTCCACACCTTTCACAGCTGAGATCTGTCATACCAAGTCCCAGCTCCACACCTTTCACAGCTGAGATTTGTCATAACAAGTCCCAGCTCCACACCTTTCACAGCTGAGATCTGTCATACCAAGTCCCAGCTCCACACCTTTCACAGCTGAGATCTGTCATACCAAGTCCCAGCTCCACACCTTTCACAGCTGAGATCTGTCATACCAAGTCCCAGCTCCACAGCTTTCACAGCTGGGATCTGTCATACCAAGTCCAAGCTCCACACCTTTCACAGCTGAGATCTGTCATACCAAGTCCAAGCTCCACACCTTTCACAGCTGAGATCTGTCATACCAAGTCCCAGCTCCACATTCCTAGTTGTTTGAGAGAAGAAGGGATAGACGACCTCACTTGACGTTAGCTGACCTAACAATGGGGGGTCCTCCACACATCAAAAGTCTGTAGTTTGTTCAGGGCAAAATAATGTCTGTGTTGTGATGTAGTTCAGACAGTATTCTCCAGTTCATACACAGCAATGTCTGTTGTGATGTAGTTCAGACAGTATTCTCCAGTTCATACACAGCAATGTCTGTGTTGTGATGTAGTTCAGACAGTATTCTCCAGTTCATACACAGCAATGTCTGTTGTGGTGTAGTTCAGACAGTATTCTCCAGTTCATACACGGCAATGTCTGTTGTGGTGTAGTTCAGACAGTATTCTCCAGTTCATACACAGCAATGTCTGTGTTGTGATGTAGTTCAGACAGTATTCTCCAGTTCATACACAGCAATGTCTGTTGTGGTGTAGTTCAGACAGTATTCTCCAGTTCATACACAGCAATGTCTGTGTTGTGATGTAGTTCAGACAGTATTCTCCAGTTCATACACAGCAATGTCTGTTGTGGTGTAGTTCAGACAGTATTCTCCAGTTCATACACAGCAATGTCTGTTGTGATGTAGTTCAGACAGTATTCTCCAGTTCATACACAGCAATGTCTGTTGTGGTGTAGTTCAGACAGTATTCTCCAGTTCATACACAGCAATGTCTGTGTTGTGATGTAGTTCAGACAGTATTCTCCAGTTCATACACAGCAATGTCTGTTGTGGTGTAGTTCAGACAGTATTCTCCAGTTCATACACAGCAATGTCTGTTGTGGTGTAGTTCAGACAGTATTCTCCAGTTCATACACAGCAATGTCTGTTGTGATGTAGTTCAGACAGTATTCTCCAGTTCATACACAGCAATGTCTGTTATGGTGTAGTTCAGACAGTATTCTCCAGTTCATACACAAATGTCTGTTGTGGTGTAGTTCAGACAGTATTCTCCAGTTCATACACAGCAATGTCTGTTGTGATGTAGTTCAGACAGTATTCTCCAGTTCATACACAGCAATGTCTGTTGTGGTGTAGTTCAGACAGTATTCTCCAGTTCATACACAGCAATGTCTGTTGTGGTGTAGTTCAGACAGTATTCTCCAGTTCATACACAGCAATGTCTGTTGTGGTGTAGTTCAGACAGTATTCTCCAGTTCATACACAGCAATGTCTGTGTTGTGGTGTAGTTCAGACAGTATTCTCCAGTTCATACACAGCAATGTCTGTGTTGTGGTGTAGTTCAGACAGTATTCTCCAGTTCATACACAGCAATGTCTGTTGTGGTGTAGTTCAGACAGTATTCTCCAGTTCATACACAGCAATGTCTGTTGTGATGTAGTTCAGACAGTATTCTCCACTTCATACACAGCAATGTCTGTTGTGGTGTAGTTCAGACAGTATTCTCCAGTTCATACACAGCAATGTCTGTTGTGGTGTAGTTCAGACAGTATTCTCCACTTCATACACAGCAATGTCTGTTGTGATGTAGTTCAGACAGTATTCTCCAGTTCATACACAGCAATGTCTGTTGTGATGTAGTTCAGACAGTATTCTCCAGTTCATACACAGCAATGTCTGTTGTGGTGTAGTTCAGACAGTATTCTCCAGTTCATACACAGCAATGTCTGTTGTGGTGTAGTTCAGACAGTATTCTCCAGTTCATACACAGCAATGTCTGTTGTGATGTAGTTCAGACAGTATTCTCCAGTTCATACACAGCAATGTCTGTTGTGATGTAGTTCAGACAGTATTCTCCAGTTCATACACAGCAATGTCTGTTGTGATGTAGTTCAGACAGTATTCTCCAGTTCATACACAGCAATAATGTCTGTGATGATGGTCTTGATGATGTCCAGAGTGATATCTTCAGCAAACACCTGAAACATAATATCGTGTTGAAGCAGTCAGACACATACAGCGGAACAACATGGCTACATGAATCGTCTACTGGAGCTGACCGATGAGAGAGAATGTTGCTTTAAGATCATGTAAGCGAGTGTTGTTTTATGCCGACTTGGAACCTACCAGCCACCATGGTGTGTCAGCATACTTGTGGTACGGCACCTCGGCACCATGACACTGGAGGGCGAAAAACAGAACAGCCACTGCCATGTGTTGGGGCTTGTAGTTCAAACACATGTTGCCATGGTAACAATCCTGAAGCAGTGACCAGGCTGTTTTAGCAATTGGCAATGCCTCCCACTTGTAGGGATCAAACCAGTCTTGCAGATACTTCAGGTTGTGCAGCATGTGCTGAAACAAAACAAATATTATGTTGTTCATTCATAGAATTGGTAGTGGGGATCTATCCTGACCGGGAATCTCTACAGGGAGACAAGCATGGGGTAGTGGAGATCTATCCTGACCAGGAATCTCTACAGGGAGACAAGCATGGGGTAGTGGGGACCTACAGGGGGAGACAAGCATGGGGTAGTGGGGGGACAAGCTACTGACCAGGAATCTCTACAGGGGAGACAAGCATGGGGTAGTGGGGACCTACAGGGAGACAAGCATGGGGTAGTGGGGACCTACAGGGAGACAAGCATGGGGTAGTGGGGATCTATCCTGACCAGGAATCTCTACAAGGAGACAAGCATGGGGTAGTGGGGACCTACAGGGAGACAAGCATGGGGTAGTGGGGACCTACAGGGAGACAAGCATGGGGAAGTGGGGACCTACAGGGGAGACAAGCATGGGGTAGTGGGGACCTACAGGGGAGACAAGCATGGGAGTAGGGATCTATCCAGGAGACCAGGAACCTACAGGGGAGACAAGCATGGGGTAGTGGGGATCTATCCTGACCAGGAATCTCTACAGGGGAGACAAGCATGGGGTAGTGGGGACCTACAGGAGACAAGCATGGGACCAGGAATCTCACAGGGAGACAAGCATGGACCAGGGATCTCAGGGAGACAAGCATGGGGTAGTGGGGACCTACCTGGGAGACAAGCATGGGGTAGTGGGGACCTACAGGAGACAAGCAGGAAGGGACCTACAGGGGAGCCGGCATGGGACACTGGGACCCTACATGGGAGACAAGCATGGGGTAGTGGGGACCTACAGGGAGACAAGCATGGGGTAGTGGGGGGGAGACAAGCATGGGGTAGTGGGGACCTACAGGAGACAAGCATGGGGACCCCTATCCTGACTGGGGACTTTACAGGGGAGACAAGCATGGGGTAGTGGGGACCTACAGGGGAGACAAGCATGGGGAAGTGGGGACCACAGGGGAGACAAGCATGGGGTAGGGGACCTACAGGGGAGACAAGCATGGGACACTGGGGACCTACAGGGTAGTGGTGACCTACAGGCAGACAAGCATGGGACCTACAGGGAGACAAGCATGGGGACTGACCAGGAATCTACAGGGGAGACAAGCATGGGGAGTGGGGACCTACAGGGGAGACAAGCATGGGGGGGGATCTATCATGACCAGGGGGACCTACAAGGAGACAAGCATGGGGTAGTGGGGACCTATCCTGACCAGGAATCTCTACAGGGAGACAAGCATGGGGTAGTGGGACTACAGGGGAGACAAGCATGGGTAGTGGGGACCACAGGGAGACAAGCATGGGGACCTGGGGACCTACAGGGGAGACAAGCATGGGGTAGTGGGGATCCCTGACCAGGAATCTCTACAAGGGGAGACAAGCATGGGGTAGTGGGGACCTACAGGGGAGACCTACAGGAGACAAGCATGGGGAATCTCTACAGGGAGACAAGCATAGTGGGGACCTACAGGGAGACCTACAGGGAGACAAGCATGGGGTAGGGTAGTGGGGACCTACAGGGGAGACAAGCATGGGGTAGTGGGGATCTATCCTGACCAGGAATCTCTACAGGGGAGACAAGCACCTATAGTGGGGAATCTACAGGGAGACAAGCATGGGGGGTGGGGACCTACAGGGAGACAAGCATGGGGTAGTGGGGACCTACAAGGGAGACAAGCATGGGGGGTAGTGGGGACCTACAGGGAGACAAGCATGGGGGTAGATCCTGGGAACCTACAGGGAGACAAGCATGGGGTAGTGGGGACCTACAGGGAGACAAGCATGGGGTAGTGGGGACCTATCCTGACCAGGAATCTTTACAGGGAGACAAGCATGGGGTAGTGGGGACCTACAGGGAGACAAGCATAGTGGGGACCTAGAGGGAGACAAGCATGGGGTAGTGGGGACCTACAGGGAGACAAGCATGGGGTAGTGGGGACCTACAGGGAGACAAGCATGGGACACTGGGGACCTACAGGGAGACAAGCATGGGGTAGTGGGGACCTACAGGGAGACAAGCATGGGGTAGTGGGGACCTACAGGGAGACAAGCATGGGGTAGTGGGGACCTACAGGGAGACAAGCATGGGGTAGTGGGGACCTATCCTGACCAGGAATCTCTACAGGGAGACAAGCATGGGGTAGTGGGGACCTACAGGGAGACAAGCATGGGGTAGTGGGGATCTATCCTGACCAGGAATCTCTACAGTGAGTAGGGGTGAAACGGTATGCTCTTACCACCCACCAGTACAGTATGTATTGCAGGACAAGACCTTCGGTTTGGTCAATTTTAGTTTGGTATAGAAGAACTTACTTCCTGAAAAATAGCGGCCGTCAAGCAAAGAAATGAATACATTTTGACAAAATGTATTGATTTCTTGACATTTTAGAAAAGGTTTTAAAAAGGTTAATAAAATAACAGCATGAAAACCGAAAACTTTTGGATTGCATTATGGTATACCGAACCGAAGACAAAATACTGTGGTCGTACACATAATACCGTGGTAAACCGTATCACCCCCTACAGGGAGACAACCATGGGGTACTGTGGAACTACCCTGACCAGGAATTTGTCCCGGGGCAGGCCTTTATTCATGGAACATCCACAACGAGATAAGCAAACCTTCTTTCTGGGAATCCACACAGGTGACATTTCCAGGGAATAACGAAAAGTATATATCTACCTTGTGAGGGTGAGAGAAGACAACCCTGAACTTGAGTGTCCTAAGCACGAAAAGTTCACAATTGGCGACCGACTCCCGCAGTGCCCAAAAGGTGTCCCCCAACTCCAGCGGTGGCTTGCTTTTGTGTAGGGTCCTAGAAGCAGAGTGAGTGACTGATAAGAGGGTGGATGTGTGGTAGAGTGGTTTGCTGGTCGGATGAGAGTGGGTGGTAGAGTGGGTAGATGTGTGGTAGAGCGGTTCGTTGATCGGATCAGAGTGGGTGGTAGAGTGGGTGTATGGGTGGTAGAGTGGGTGTATGGGTGATAGAGTGGGTGGTAGAGTGGGTGTATGGGTGGTAGAGTGGGTGTATGGGTGATAGAGTGGGTGGTAGAGCGGGTGAATGGGTGGCTGACTTGGATTGTATGTCTTTGGTTCTGTTCCTGGTAGTGGAAGTCATTAGATGGGTTGTGATTGAACGGGACCTATCTGAAACTCTGTATGTGAGAGAGTGCATGTGTATGTGTGTGTATGTGTATGTGCATGTACTTGTAAGACTGTGTGTGCATGTACATGACCATGCACTTCTGACACTTGTATGAAATATAGTTGTTTCAGCTAGTAGGTCAAAGGGAGACAACTCACACAATGGAACATCGCAACCACCACTTAAAGAGTCCTGAAAATCACCAGTGTTTCCGCTGACTTCATTATTTATCGGACACCGTGTCTGGCGACCTAAACTTATACCAGTCATGAATGAACTTTGCCAGTTATATCCTATCACCATACTGCAAGTACTCATTTTAAAGTTATTTTCAGTCTGCATATTTCCAAAACATAACAATTTTTGTGACCATGAAAGCACAGCCAAGACTGTCATTTCAGCTTACCCATGATTTTTTCTTTTTAAAACTTGATTATGTAGCGGACACAGTGTCCGGCTGGCTTTCAATTTACCGGTCCCCAACGAATTTTACCGGCGATTTGCAGGTATATACCGGAGAACGGAAACACTGATCACTATTCATTATTTCACTGCAGGATTTATAGACCATGAATATCACTGCTGACAATGACCCCCACAGACCATGGGAAACAAGTACAGTATGTGTATCACCCTTCAAACTGAGCAATTGTTATCATCCTTTATCGGCTCTCAATGACATTTGATCAAGTAAGCATAGAACCAAATTGCAATGTACAGTGAACCAGTGAATACTGATATTTCATTTGATCAATTTCCATCATTGATCAATGATTCCACATCTATAGTATTAAACAGATGTGTACATAGATTCAATACAAAGTCCTGTTCATATATCGTACACAACATTCTCTGGGGTGGGTTGATGACAACACCTGCTCCCTGTAATATGGGTTCAAGACAACACCTGCCACCTGTAACATGGGTTCAAGACAACACCTGCCCCTGTAACATAGGTTCATGACAACACCTGCCACCTGTAACATGGGTTCAAGACAACACCTGCTCCCTGTAACATAGGTTCATGACAACACCTGCCACCTGTAACATGGGTTCATGAATGGGTTGACACCTGCCCCCTGTAACATGGGTTCATGGATACACCTGCCCCTGTAACATGGGTTGATGACAACACCTGCCACCTGTAACATGGGTTCATGAATACACCTGCCCCTGTAACATGGGTTGATGACAACACCTGCCCCCTGTAACATGGGTTCATGAATACACCTGCCCACCTGTAACATGGGTTCATGACTACACCTGCCCCCTGTAACATGGGTTGATGACAACACCTGCCACCTGTAACATGGGTTCATGGATACACCTGCCACCTGTAACATGGGTTGATGACAACACCTGCCCCCTGTAACATGGGTTCATGAATACACCTGCCCCTGTAACATGGGTTGATGACAACACCTGCCACCTGTAACATGGGTTCATGGATACACCTGCCACCTGTAACATGGGTTGATGACAACACCTGCTCCTGTAACATGGCTCAATGACAACACATCCCCCTGTAAAACACGGGTTGATGAGTACACCTGCCCACCTGTAACATGTGTTGATGACAACACCTGCCCCTGAAAGATGGCTCCATGACAACACATCCCCCTGTAACATGGGTTGATGACAACACCTGCCACCTGTAACATGAGTTCATCACTGCATCTGCCCACCTGTAACATGAGTTGATGACACCTGCCCCTGTAACAAGGGTTGATGACTACACCTGCCACCTGTAACATGGGTTCATCACTACACCTGCCCCCTGTAACATGGGTTGATGACAACACCTGCCGACCTGTAACATGAGTTGATGACTATACCTGCCCTGTAACCCCACCCCCCTGCAACACAGGTTGATGACAACACCTGCCCCCTGTAACATGAGTTGATGACTACACCTGCCCCCTGTAACATGGGTTGATGACTACACCTGCCTCCTGTAACATGGGTTGATGACTACACCTGCCCCTGTAACATGGGTTGATGACTACACCTGCCCCCTGTAACATGGGTTGATGACTACACTTGCCCCCTGTAACATGGGTTGATGACTACACCTGCCCACATGTAACATGGGTTGATGACTACACCTGCCCCCTGTAACATGGGTTGATGACTACACCTGCCCCCTGTAACATGGGTTGATGACTACACCTGCCCACATGTAACATGGGTTCATGACTACACCTGCCCACCTGTAACATGGGTTGATGACTACACGTGCCTACCTGTAACATGAGTTGATGACATCCCTCAGTTTCAAGTGTTCTTCTTCCACTTTGCCAGCCAGGTAAATACAGGTGGTGCCAATTAGCTACAAACAGCACAAGTTAAAGTAAAGTATGAACACACAGTGTAGAAGACATAAGTAGTATTATGGTGAGTGAGTGAGTTTAGTTTTCGCCGGACTCAGCAATATTCCAGCTATATGACGGCGGTCTGTAAATAATCGAATCTAGACCAGACAATCCAGTGATCAACAGCATGAGCATCTATCTGTGCAATTGGGAACCGATGACCGATGACATGTGTCAACCAAGCCAGAAAGCCTGACCACCAGAACCTGTTCGTCCGCCTCTTACGACAAGCATGGGCTACTGAAGGTACATTCTAACCCGGACCTTCACGGATAAGTGTTATGGTGAAGAAGAAATGAATATCATTAACAGTTTCAAAATTCAAGGATTTCATTTACGTTGTCAGGTAGTTCTTGCTAGGCTTAAAAAACAAAATAAGCAACAAGTGCACTATACCTACTACATACAATCTTGCATATTGATCATTCCAGCTCTGTGGATCAACATTATCTACTAGATACATCACATATATTGATCTGTACCTTTAACATGGGACATAAGATCAATGTTTAAGTTCAAGGTGGGGCATTAGGTCAATAGGTAACTTCAAGGTGGGGCATTAGGTCAATAGGTAACTTCAAGGTGGGGCATTAGGTCAATAGGTAACTTCAAGGTGGGGCATTAGGTCAATAGGTAACTTCAAGGTGGGGCATTAGGTCAATAGGTAACTTCAAGGTGGGGCATTAGGTCAATAGGTAACTTCAAGGTGGGGCATTAGGTCAATAGGTAACTTCAAGGTGGGGCATTAGGTCAATAGGTAACTTCAAGGTGGGGCATTAGGATCAATAGGTAACTTCAAGGTGGGGCATTAGGTCAATAGGTAACTTTAACATGTTTAAGGTGGGACACTAGATCAGGTAGAAACCAGATACTTATAAGATTAAGGTTTCAAAAGCTGTTTCATGACTAAAAGACATTACTAAGGGAGACAACTCTCCATCCTACAGTCTTGGTACTTACATAGGGATCATAGTCATTCAGTGAGTTCTCCTTGAAGAACTTGTGGTACAACACACACGCAGTTGCCATGGGAACACTCTTGATGTGAAGCTTCACCCCTGTCATGACAAACAGAACACTCTCAAACCAAACATACTGCATTCAACTATCACTGGTGTTTCCCTCATAGTTTAGTTAGTGATATATAACAGCCCTTCAGTTTCGGGTTAAACGATCTAACGTGAACTGTGGATCTTCTGACGTATTGTTGGATGCCATGTCCAGGTTAAAGTTGCATGAATAATCATCCACAATTTAAGGTCACCATGACACAACTCATCTGATGACGCAACCTTGATATTATCTGCTAACTTAAATGTATCTACAAAGGCCACTCAAAGACAATGTATACACATAAGCATTAATCAAGCACTTTTTAAGTATGAAAATGAGGCAAGTTGTATTAGCTTTGAAAACCACATTTTGCATATAAATCGGAAGTGTAACATACATATTACCAAAAAAATGATCTGGACATTACTGACATTATATTTACAGTGTTAACACAAACATGCAATTACTGCTTAAGAATGAACGTCATTGTCTTAACCCTAATATTGAAAGGTTTTGGGAGTCCCAGATTTATGTACCTTTGGACCTGATGGACTTCTGGGCCCCTCACTGAAAACCTCACTAAAATAAGAGTCAGCTCTCCCAACAGAATGAATACAGACTATGAATAGGTCCTAATACTTAGTTCTGACACCATCCTTGCTCAGGTCCTAATACTTGGGTCTGAGACCATGGGTAGGTCCTAATGCTTAGGTCGGAGACTATGGGTAGGTCCTAATATTGAGGGTCTGAGACCATGGGTAGGTCTTAATATTTGGGTCCGAGACCATGGGTAGGTCCTAATACTTAGGTCGGAGACCATAGGTAGGTCCTAATATTTAGGTCTGAGACCATGGGTAGGTCCTAATACTTAGGTCGGAGACCATGGGTAGGTCCTAATACTTAGGTCTGAGACCATGGGTAGGTCCTAATACTTAGGTCGGAGACCATGGGTAGGTCCTAATACTTAGGTCGGAGACCATGGGTAGGTCTTAATATTGAGGTTCTGAGACCATGGGTAGGTCCTAATACTTAGGTCGGAGACCATAGGTAGGTCCTAATATTTAGGTCTGAGACCATGGGTAGGTCCTAATACTTAGGTCTGAGACCATGGGTAGGTCCTAATACTTAGGTCGGAGACCATGGGTAGGTCCTAATACTTAGGTCTGAGACCATGGGTAGGTCCTAATACTTAGGTCTGAGACCATGGGTAGGTCCTAATACTTAGGTCGGAGACCATGGGTATGGAGGTCCTAATATTTGGGTCTGAGACCATGGGTAGGTCCTAATATTTAGGTCGGAGACCATGGGTAGGTCCTAATACTTAGGTCTGAGACCATGGGTAGGTCCTAATACTTAGGTCGGAGACCATCGGTAGGTTCTAATATTGAGGGTCTGAAACCATAGGTAGGTCCTAATATTTAGGTCTGATACCATGGGAAGGGCCTAATATTGAGGGTCTGAGACCATAGGTAGGTCCTAATACTTAGGTCTGAGACCATGGGTAGGTCCTAATATTTAGGTCTGAGACCATGGGTAGGTCCTAATATTTAGGTCTGAGACCATGGGTAGGTCCTAATACTTAGGTCAGAGACCATGGGTAGGTCCTAATATTGAGGGTCTGAGACCATAGGTAGGTCCTAATATTTAGGTCTGAGACCATGGGAAGGGCCTATAACTTAGGTCTGAGATCATAGGTAAGTGCTGATAATTAGGTCAGAGACCATGGGTAGGTCCCAATACTTAGGTCTGATAGAGATTACTAAACGAGTGTCTGTCAGATATCATTTATCTTACGAGTTGTTTCAAAACGTATTTAACGAGCGAAAGCGCGTTAAATACGTTTTGAAACAACGAGTTGTAACATAAATGATATCTGACAGACACGAGTACAGTAATCTGTTTCTTACACACCATAAAATCGCACCATTTCATGGTCGAATAGATACAAATTTCATATTTTCTCATCATAGCTGCGCAATAATACAAAACACAACGTTTATGAATGAGTGACGTCACTTGGCTTCCTAATCACTACTCATCCCCAAGGTGACCCTCCACAAAAATAGTTTCTGCCATATCTTCGCGTCATCAAGGTAATAGTGATAATGCAAAGTAGATAAGATCACAGAAAATTAATTAAACACTCTAAAACAATGATGTTACCAGGTAAATGTGGGCAATTTTAATTCTTGCAAGCAAAAAATATTTCAGCGTGTGACGTCATCGTCATCGTTTGGTGGTTGTCGTCATCGGAAGATTGTTTTGGATATCTCTGCACATTGTCATTGGGGATCTGTAATTGTGTACCAGTTTCTCTTCAATGTTCTCCCATCCAATCGGAGCCAAAACTATTGAGTGTGTGTCATTAGGTGTAACCCCTGTGCTTGCATATGACATTGCTGAGGTTACGTTCACTATCAATGGGGGACTACTCTTCTTCGCCACAGCCTTCTCGTTTTCCTGAGCCAGAAACTGCCACTTGGAATGTAACGGAATTTACGGAGTTGTCAGTGTGAAATGTGAGTTGATTACATCCTGTATATTATCAAGACATAAACTTTGCATTATCATGCGTCGGGAGGAATATCTAAGCAATGACTTATGTGTAGATAAACCGTTTCTGTACATGTTCGATTGAATAGAAAGGACGTGTGCCGCCATTTGCACTCATGAACCCTTGCAAACATTCCATGTTGTACATTGTTTCAACGAGTGTGTTTTGGTTCTAACTGTCATGAGTGAATTTAACAACATTCGAATCACATAGTAGCTCGGAGCTGGAAGTGGGTCTTCATCATGTTTATCAATGAAAAATGTTATCTTCATCAATTCATCAAAGAAACGCGAGGCAAATCGATCACTGACGTTATCGTGTCAGGTATTTTAATTTGCAAGACGATACATGACTTGTCACATCTCTCCAGTAAAAGTACCAACGATTTACATTTTCAATATTCGAAGGGAATCCCGGTCTTTATCTTTAACGGTGATTTTCACATAATTGTTTTAATACACAGGTTTCACTGATTGTTCGAAGCGATTTTGAATTCATGACTAGAAATCAAAAGTTTTAATAAAAGGAATTAGAAAATAAATAGATTCGTGTTATATTTCTTCAAGTTCTGTTTCATTGTTTAAATACCTGTTTATGTTGCAATCTAGAAAATAACAGGTAGGTGTAAAGGTTTTTCTTTTGGAACGAATAACAGGTTCCTGTTCGATTGAAGCACGAGGAACTACTCAATGAATTTTAATCAGGAAAGTAGTCCGTCATAACCTGACCCTAGGTCATCACCATGGAGTAGCCAATCATGGGATCAGAAATCGATCTCACACATATGTGTGATACCAGTTTTCTCACATGGGTTTCTCACCCTCGGGTGTGTAAGAAAGCATATTACTACACTTTCCTAACGATATTTTTCGAATTAGTTAAAAAATAATAATTCAAAACTTAATTAATAGTATGAAAACAACTTTTAACCTACCTCATTTTCAAAACTACCCCAACCACCTAAAAACAAATGGTGTGCATGCTACATTTTTTTATCACCTCCAACAATGCAGTGATGTCATCAGTTACAAATGTAGTGTGTTACAGAGTTGCAAGAGTTAACACCCCCAACACAATTGCATAGTGCCAAATTCTACACAGCATTCAGGTCGGTGAGGTGGCCTAGTGGTTAAAGCATTCGCCCATCACACCGAAGATCCGGGTTCAATTCCCCACATGGGTACAATGTGTGAAGCCCTTTTCTGGTCTCCCTCGCCGCGATATTGCTGAAATATTGCTAAAAGCATTGTAAAACTAAACTCACTCACTACACAGTATGCACACAGCATTGCACAAAATGAAGCTCTCACTAATGAGAGTAGAGTGTTTGAAACTGGTGTGTTTAGAGACTTCTCTTGAATGATTTTATTTTGTCTAGTAATTTCATGAGTTTTGAAAGGACAGTAGATTTTTCCAAACCGGCAAATGTTCCAGTTCAACCTTGTTACATGTAATAAGGTTGAACGAGATGTTTCCTGGAGGATGTGTGTATCGTTTATTTATCTACGTCAAAGGAACTCTGCCACTTCGTCCATGTGAAGCCAGTTTTACTGATACAAACATAAAACATAATTTTCTTTGGTGAATGTTAGATGCGTGGTTACAAGTTCATGTTTCAGACAGCCACCCGAAATAGACCGACATCTATGTGCGTATGAAATCTCGTCCGATTCAGCCGTGATTACCTGATTCAGTCATAAAACGCACAACGCGGAAATGAACACGTTTTTCTACTTCTGTCATATCTTCAACTTTCAAGAGCGCTGGCCAGAGCACTTTTTAACAACATCAAATTCCAACTTTTCAGTGCAACTCCAGGATAACACGCGAGTTCGGGAGAAATCATTATTAAAGTGGAAACAGAAACTTTATTAACAGTTGTCTCAAAGAAGAGTCAGATTTGATAGACATCCTTTGTCTGTTTACAGACTCTAGCATTGAGTGGTTGAGAAATTACTTTAAAGTTTTGATCATATCCAGTACAATGAATATTTGTGAATTCATTTACAAAGCTATCAGCCGTACAGGAACCGGATATTATTTTCGTCGTCATGCGCAATTGTGGTACTTAGCGCCATAATTTGAAAGTCGTTGATACATGATCAGGCCTGAATTCTTTTGGCATTTGGCTCATGAAAGAGGAAATAGCAGATAGTGGATACTTGAAAATGGCAACAACACTTGTGAGTACCGTTACGGAAGAGATACAACCAGTTGGTGCATTCAAATTTTGAAACTCTAGCCAATATTCATTCGGCTTCCTTTTAGCTAAATATTTGACAGGCCAAGCCACTTAATGCAGTTATTTTCATTTTTTGGCTCCATTTGTGTCAGGTTTTCTTTTTTGACAAGCTTTCGGTTTGGCAAGTAAATATTTCAACAAAAAGCTGGAGAAAAATGTACTCAAAGAAGATGTCAACAAACCTGAATCGTTCAATGTTTGCAGTGTTTACAAACATGTCTTGACATGCACACCTGGCGTTTGAGAACAGCTACATGCATTGACAATATGGATAAAATAATAATTCATATTCATTAAGCACCTACATTTGACATCTATATACCTTAGAACATCCCAGCTGTATCCCGAGTCCCTGGTTCTCATTTACGTTCCAGCATCGCTTACAATTAATAGGATGAGGTTCCAAATTCCAATCAAAAATACCCTTAGTGTCCTTGGGGTTGAGCACCTATTGCTAGTCAAACAGCCCTTTTCTGTCCCTTAGGCACCCTTGTCAGGTTGTAAATAGGTTAGCTGTCTCTCTTAACAAATTAATCTAATAGACAATGTGTGGAAACTGTAAAATTGGTATCAAGTTACTGATTTTACAGAGAAAATAGCGGATTCTGTGCATACATATAAAGATAAGGTAAGAGTTCCTCCCGTTCTCCCATCCCAAATAATATTTATAAATTAATATATACTAAAATTATTAACAAAACCTAACACAACAATTACTAGAGAACTCACAAAAATAACTAAAACCCCCAAAATTAATTACAATATATAGGGTCGAACTATGTTGCGTTACCTCTGTTAATCTGCTGAAGAAAGAAGTGGGCAATATGGGGGAACGGAAGGAACTATTTCCAAGTAATAACTCCTTATGAATAACATCGAATAGAATAACTCCTTATGCTACCTAGGCACTTTTTTTCAATCCTGGCACCAATCGAAATCCGAAAAATATGTGCCTGGCATTGTGACCGCTTCTCAGAAGAGATGATGTAAATATAATTCCTGCAAACAGGCTGTAGACTTTCAGGGCAAGCATGTCTGGGTGTTAATGAATTTGAGGTATATTGAAGAGAAAGCATCTTTTACATATGAATAAGGCAACTTGAATCTTATTCTGCTTATCAGGGCGGTGGGGTAGCCTAGTGGTTGAAGTGTTCGCTTGTCATGCCGAAGGCCCAGGTTTGATTCCGCACATGGGTACAGTGTGTGAAGCCCATTTCTGGTGTCCCCCGCCTTCATATTGTTGGAATATTGATAAAAGCGGCGTAAAACCCAACCCAATTACTGTCATCTATTTTACATATTTTACTCAGATGCACAGCTGATGTGATGCTATGGAGCTTTGAGTGCATTCAGGATTCAACAGGTCCCAAGCATTGGGATCCGGTGGCTGTTTTCATTATTTCTCATCCCATCCCAGTGATGTTGGTTCTATGGTAGACTTAAAGAACAATTATTCACTGGATTGTCTGGCCTACATTTTGTCTTGTTTGTTTACATGCTGCCCTTGAGTTGCTGAAATATTGCTTAAACTAAGAGAAAGACAAACAAATATCTCTTTGCCTCATTTTCTGCAGATTTAATTATGATTGTTACTATGTTGTTTCCAGGAAGATCCATCACTGGAGCGGCACTTCCGGGGCCACCGCGACACAATCACTGCAGTTGACTTCAGTCCCAACATGACACAGCTAGGTGAGATGATTTGTTCTTCTTATCTGTAAATAAATGTTAAAGTGGCTGTGTTTTGTGACTAGCCTGTAATAGGATTGTTCATGTCTTTATTTGACAGCAGAGGCCAGTGAATCTATCTAAGGTACAGGGATGGTAAGATGCTGCCTACAGTGATTAGGCTCCAGTATTTGGTATCCATTTTCAAACACAGAGAACACTGATAGTAATAATTTTGTGGGGCCCAAGGCAGGCTATTGTCATTCTAGGTGACCTATATGCCCAAACATGTGACTGATATTACTATTATTATTACTATATTGCACATGCTCAGTGGGGGATGGACTGAATAACGAAGATTGCCCTTGATCTCTTGCGATAAAAAGTTTGTGGCGACATATTTCGGTCAGAGAATTTTCTTTTCTTGAAGTCCTGATTTTTGTTGAATAGGATTACAACTTGGTCAAACTGAATTTGATTGCTTGAGTACTTTTTTGGTGGTCTGATTTCCTGTCTGCCGTTGAGGCTCTTATTCATTTTAATGCAGTTAACTAAGGAACAGGAGGTTTCACGTACGTAAGAGTCTCAACATTCATTGTTTGTCTTGCATATTATTCCGTTTGGGGGTTGCTTTTTGGGGGGATAGGGTTCAGCCATTTGCTTGGAGGATGGTTCTCAGGGATTGGAAGCCAGTGAAGATGGTGTCACTGCCTGTTTGGTGCTAAAGTAGTGTACTGATCTGACGAGAGGCCTTGCCAATATAGGGTATGGTCATCCTGATGGGGGTGGATTTAGACATGGTCAGTTTGGGTTTGACCTGGAGGAGATAAAACTACCCGGCCCAGCAGATACCCATCTAAAGAACATAAAACAGAACACTACAGCCTAAGCAGATTGCTGCACGTCGCTCTGTGTAGTAAACAAAAAGTTATCCTTAAGCTGTAATCTTTGTTATTGACTTTCCAACTTCTAGTATGCTGGTCAAACAATAAGGGTTTATTCACTGTTGACACTTTGAATATATTTCTTACCTGAACAGAAAGTTAAGTCATATGCAACATGAAAGTTACCAGTTTGCTACCTCTCAGTCTCAGATTCCATTAGCCATGTTTTTACAGTTTTGAGGTGTCATAATGTATTTGCATACAGGATGCAATGTGTCTTGTGAACCTCTCCCAGGGCTCCAGATAATTTTTCAACATCAGGAGTACGTACTCCATATTTTTCACTACAGGAGTACTGGAAAACCTTAAGAGTACATTTAGAGTACTGAGTGGAATTTAATGGAGTATCAGTAATCTTGTGTTTCGTTTCATATATGCACCACTACATTGATAGTCTTGTGTAGACAGGTCAATAAACAATAAACCAATATTTTATTCAGATAAATACGTCTGTAAATGATTCTAAGACCGTACACTATTGCTGTGGTGCGTACCTGCTACGTTTTCTAAATTATTTGCTACCGTATCGTGCATATTTTGTATTCGTACATACGCCGATATGGCCCTTATCTGGAGCCCTGCTCTCCTAACCCTGTCTCAGTGGCAAGTGTGTTGTTGTTGACATTATATCACTCTCATCATGTGACCTGTGCTGACATCCCAGCTGTCTCATGTCACAACAGAGATGCTTCCTGGTGCCTCAACACCATTGTGATGAAAGATGATCATCATCACTAATCATGCTAATGATGTGTTGTGGACTTTTTCAGCCTCTGGGTCCATGGATTCATGTCTGATGGTGTGGAATTTCAAGCCGAAAATGAGGGCTTACAGATTTGTTGGCCACAAGGTATGTCCACCCTACAGAGCCAGTAAGAAACAAACTACTGACGTGACCTGGTTGATTCCTCTTTTGTTTTTCTATGACTATTTTGATTCTTTGCAGCCTAACACTAAAAGTTTTGATGTGTGTCCACGATAGTGTCATGGTGTAGTGGTGCAGTTGTCACAGTGTGTAGTGGTGCAGTTGTCACAGTGTGCAGTAATACTAATACTAAAAGTTTTGATGTGTGTCCACGATAGTGTCATGGTGTAGTGGTGCAGTTGTCACAGTGTGTAGTGGTGCAGTTGTCACAGTGTGTAGTGGTGCAGTTGTCACAGTGTGTAGTGGTGCAGTTGTCACAGTGTGTAGTGGTGCAGTTGTCACAGTGTGCAGTAATACTAATACTAAAAGTTTTGATGTGTGTCCACGATAGTGTCATGGTGTAGTGGTGCAGTTGTCACAGTGTGTAGTGGTGCAGTTGTCACAGTGTGCAGTGGTGCAGTTGTCACAGTGTGTAGTGGTGCAGTTGTCACATTGTGTAGTGGTGCAGTTGTCACAGTGTGCAGTAATACTAATACTAAAAGTTTTGATGTGTGTCCACGATAGTGTCATGGTGTAGTGGTGCAGTTGTCACAGTGTGTAGTGGTGCAGTTGTCACAGTGTGCAGTGGTGCAGTTGTCACAGTGTGTAGTGGTGCAGTTGTCACATTGTGTAGTGGTGCAGTTGTCACAGTGTGCAGTAATACTACTACTACAAAAGTTTTGATGTGTGTCAACAGCGATAGTGTCATGGTGTAGTAGTGGTGCAGTTGTCACAGTGTGCAGTGAATTGCAGTTGCAGTGTGCAGTGGTGCAGTTGTCACAGTGTGCAGTGGTGCAGTTGTCACAGTGTGTAGTGGTGCAGTTGTCACAGTGTGTAGTGGTGCAGTTGTCACAGTGTGTAGTGGTGCAGTTGTCACAGTGTAGTGGTGCAGTTGTCACAGTGTGCAGTGGTGCAGTTGTCATTGTCCACGGTGTGTAGTGGTGCAGTTGTCACAGTGTGTAGTGGTGCAGTTGTCACAGAAGTGGTGCAGTTGTCACAGTGTGTAGTGGTGCAGTTGTCACAGTGTGCAGTGGTGCAGTTGTCACAGTGTGTAGTGGTGCAGTTGTCACAGTGTGTAGTGGTGCAGTTGTCACAGTGTGCAGTGGTGCAGTTGTCACAGTGTGTAGTGGTGCAGTTGTCACAGTGTGTAGTGGTGCAGTTGTCACAGTGTGTAGTGGTGCAGTTGTCACAGTGTGTAGTGGTGCAGTTGTCACAGTGTGTGGTGTAGTGGTGCAGTTGTCACAGTGTGTAGTGGTGCAGTTGTCACAGTGTGCAGTGGTGCAGTTGTCACAGTGTGTAGTGGTGCAGTTGTCACAGTGTGTAGTGGTGCAGTTGTCACAGTGTGTAGTGGTGCAGTTGTCACAGTGTGTAGTGGTGCAGTTGTCACAGTGTGTAGTGGTGCAGTTGTCACAGTGTAGTGGTGCAGTTGTCAGTGTGTAGTGGTGCAGTTGTCACAGTGTGTAGTGGTGCAGTTGTCACAGTGTGTAGTGGTGCAGTTGTCACAGTGTGTAGTGGTGCAGTTGTCACAGTGTGTAGTGGTGCAGTTGTCACAGTGTGTAGTGGTGCAGTTGTCACAGTGTGTAGTGGTGCAGTTGTCACAGTGTGTAGTGGTGCAGTTGTCAGTGTGTAGTGGTGCAGTTGTCAGTCTGTAGTGGTGCAGTTGTCAGTGTGTAGTGGTGCAGTTGTCAGTGTGTAGTGGTGCGGAGTTGTCAGTGTGTAGTGGTACAGTTGTCACAGTGTGTAGTGGTGCAGTTGTCACAGTGTGTAGTGGTGCAGTTGTCAGTGTGTAGTGGTGCAGTTGTCAGTGTGTAGTGGTACAGTTGTCACAGTGTGTAGTGGTGCAGTTGTCAGTGTGTAGTGGTGCAGTTGTCACAGTGTAGTGGTGCAGTTGTCAGTGTGTAGTGGTACAGTTGTCAGTGTGTAGTGGTGCAGTTGTCACAGTGTGTAGTGGTGCAGTTGTCACAGTGTGTAGTGGTGCAGTTGTCACAGTGTGTAGTGGTGCAGTTGTCACAGTGTGTAGTGGTGCAGTTGTCAGAGTCTAGTAGTGGTGCAGTTGTCAGTGTGTAGTGGTGCAGTTGTCTGGGTGTGTAGTGGTACAGTTGTCAGTGTCACAGTGTAGTGGTGCAGTTGTCAGTGTGTAGTGGTGCAGTTGTCACAGTGTGTAGTGGTGCAGTTGTCACAGTGTAGTGGTGCAGTTGTCACAGTGTGTAGCGGTACAGTTGTCACAGAGTGTAGTGGTGCAGTTGTCAGTGTGTAGTGGTGCAGTTGTCACAGTGTAGTGGTGCAGTTGTCACAGTGTGTAGCGGTACAGTTGTCACAGTGTGTAGTGGTGCAGTTGTCAGTGTGTAGTGGTGCAGTTGTCACAGTGTGTAGTGGTGCAGTTGTCAGTGTGTAGTGGTGCAGTTGTCACAGTGTGTAGCGGTACAGTTGTCACAGTGTGTAGTGGTGCAGTTGTCAGTGTGTAGTGGTGCAGTTGTCACAGTGTGTAGTGGTGCAGTTGTCAGTGTGTAGTGGTGCAGTTGTCAGTCTGTAGTGGTGCAGTTGTCAGTGTGTAGTGGTGCAGTTGTCAGTGTGTAGTGGTGCAGTTGTCAGTGTGTAGTGGTGCAGTTGTCAGTGTGTAGTGGTGCAGTTGTCACAGTGTGTAGTGGTGCAGTTGTCAGTGTGTAGTGGTGCAGTTGTCAGTGTGTAGTGGTGCAGTTGTCACAGTGTGTAGTGGTGCAGTTGTCACAGTGTGTAGTGGTGCAGTTGTCACAGTGTGTAGTGGTGCAGTTGTCACAGTGTAGTGGTGCAGTTGTCACAGTGTGTAGTGGTACAGTTGTCACAGTGTGTAGTGGTGCAGTTGTCAGTGTGTAGTGGTGCAGTGAAACAGTGTCAGTGTGTAGTGGTGCAGTTGTCACAGTGTGTAGTGGTGCAGTTGTCACAGTGTGTAGTGGTGCAGTTGTCAGTGTGTAGTGGTGCAGTTGTCACAGTGTGTAGTGGTGCAGTTGTCACAGTGTGTAGTGGTGCAGTTGTCACATGTGTAGTGGTGCAGTTGTCACAGTGTGTAGTGGTGCAGTTGTCAGTGTGTAGTGGTGCAGTTGTCACAGTGTAGTGGTGCAGTTGTCACAGTGTGTAGTGGTGCAGTTGTCACAGTGTGTAGTGGTGCAGTTGTCAGTGTGTAGTGGTGCAGTTGTCACAGTGTGTAGTGGTGCAGTTGTCACAGTGTGTAGTGGTGCAGTTGTCGAGTGTGTAGTGGTGCAGTTGTCACAGTGTGTAGTGGTGCAGTTGTCACAGTGTAGTGGTGCAGTTGTCACAGTGTGTAGCGGTGCAGTTGTCACAGAGTGTAGTGGTGCAGTTGTCAGTGTGTAGTGGTGCAGTTGTCAGTGTGTAGTGGTGCAGTTGTCACAGTGTGTAGTGGTGCAGTTGTCACAGTGTGTAGTGGTGCAGTTGTCAGTGTGTAGTGGTGCAGTTGTCAGTGCTGTAGTGGTGCAGTTGTCAGTGTGTAGTGGTGCAGTTGTCAGTGTGTAGTGGTGCAGTTGTCAGTGTGTAGTGGTACAGTTGTCAGTGTGTAGTGGTGCAGTTGTCACAGTGTAGTGGTGCAGTTGTCAGTTGTCAGTGTGTAGTGGTACAGTTGTCAGTGTGTAGTGGTGCAGTTGTCACAGTGTGTAGTGGTGCAGCTGTCAGTTGTCAGTGTGTAGTGGTGCAGTTGTCACAGTGTGTAGTGGTGCAGTTGTCACAGTGTAGTGGTAGTGGTGCAGCGGTTGTCAGTGTGTAGTGGTGCAGTTGTGTGTGTAAGTGGTGCCAGTGTGTAGTGGTGCAGTTGTCAGTGTGTAGTGGTGCAGTTGTCAGTGTGTAGTGGTGCAGTTGTCACAGTGTGTAGTGGTGCAGTTGTCACAGTGTGTAGTGGTGCAGTTGTCAGTGTGTAGTGGTGCAGTTGTCACAGTGTGTAGTGGTGCAGTTGTCACAGTGTGTAGTGGTGCAGCTGTCACAGTGTGTAGTGGTGCAGTTGTCAGTGTAGTGTGCAGCTGTCACAGTGTAGTGGTGCAGTTGTCACAGTGTGTAGTGGTGCAGTTGTCAGTGTGTAGTGGTACAGTTGTCAGTGTGTAGTGGTGCAGTTGTCACAGTGTGTAGTGGTGCAGTTGGTCAGTGTGTAGTGGTGCAGTTGTCACAGTGTGTAGTGGTGCAGTTGTCACAGTGTGTAGTGGTGCAGTTGTCAGTGCAGTGGTGCAGTTGTCAGCGTGTAGTGGTGCAGTTGTCAGTGTGTAGTGGTGCAGTTGTCAGTGTGTAGTGGTGCAGTTGTCAGTGTGCAGTTGTCAGTGTGGCAGTTGTCAGTGTGTAGTGGTGCAGTTGTCACAGTGTGTAGTGGTACAGTTGTCACAGTGTGTAGTGGTGCAGTTGTCACAGTGTGTAGTGGTGCAGTTGTCACAGTGTGTAGTGGTGCAGTTGTCAGTGTGTAGTGGTGCAGTTGTCACAGTGTGTAGTGGTGCAGTTGTCAGTGTGTAGTGGTGCAGTTGTCAGTGTGTAGTGGTGCAGTTGTCAGTGTGTAGTGGTACAGTTGTCAGTGTGTAGTGGTGCAGTTGTCAGTGTGTAGTGGTGCAGTTGTCAGTGTGTAGTGGTGCAGTTGTCAGTGTGTAGTGGTGCAGTTGTCACAGTGTGTAGTGGTGCAGTTGTCAGTGTGTAGTGGTGCAGTTGTCACAGTGTGTAGTGGTGCAGTTGTTGCAGTTGTCACAGAGTGTAGTGGTACAGTTGTCACAGTGTGTAGTGGTGCAGTTGTCACAGTGTAGTGGTGCATCCGGTCACCTTGTAGCTTCATCCTCTAGGGATGGTGTTGTCAAGTAACCATCTGTTTGTGTTACAGGATGCAGTCGTGTCAGTGCAGTTCTCCCCGTCCGGTCACCTTGTAGCTTCATCCTCTAGGGATGGTGTTGTCAAGTAACCATCTGTTTGTGTTACAGGATGCAGTCATGTCAGTGCAGTTTTCCCCATCCGGTCACCTTGTAGCTTCATCCTCCAGGGACAAGACCGTCAGACTCTGGATACCAAGTGTGTACGTACTCAGAGATACATATACCATTATACAATGTGACGTCCAAGTTTTAGACCTAGTCGATCCAAGACGTATTCCTCATGCTCCGTAATGTGTCTTTCTTGTGACTGAAATGATGTTATTTTGTTTTAGGAAAGGGGAATCAACTGTATTCAAAGCTCACACCGCTACTGTACGTAGTGTGGACTTCTCCAGTGATGGGCAGACTCTGTGTACAGCATCGGACGACAAGACAGTCAAGGTGAGCTAAACTCTCACTACACACACATGACTCACAACACAACACACATATGTGACTGACATGTCACACATACGACTCCACACGCATGACATAACACACACATGACTCCCATGACACAACACATACATGACTCACACGTCACAACACGCATGGGGGGTGGGGTAGCCTAGTGGGTAAAGCGTTCGCTTGTCACTCCGAAGGCCCTGGTTCGATTCCCCACATGGGTAAAATGTGTGAAGCCCATTTCTGGTGTACCCCGCCGTGATATTGCTGGAATATTGCTAAAAGTGCCGTAAAATATAACTCACTCACTCACAACATGCATGACTCACATGACACAACACACATGACTCACATGACACAACACATATATGACTCACACTTAACAACACACATGACTCACATAACACCACACACACATGACTCTCATGTGACATGACTCACATTACACAACACATACATGACATGCATGACTCACGTGACACAACACACATGACTCACACATCACAACACACATGACACAACACATACATGACTCACATCACAACACATACAAGACTCACGACATAACATACATGGCTCACATGACACAACACTAGCATGATTTGCATGACACAACTCACACTTCACAACACGCATGACTCACATTACAACACGTACATGACTCATGACATAACACATAAATGGCTCACATGACCCAACACACATGACTCACACATCACAACACACATGACACAACACATACATGACATGTCACAACACACATGACTCACATCACAACACATACATGACTCACGACACAACATACATGGCTCACATGACACAACACACATGACTCACATGACACAACACATATGACTCACATGACAACACTAGCATGATTTGCATGACACAACACATACATCACTCACAGTTCACAACACGCATGACTCACATTACAACACGTACATGACTCATGACAGAACACATACATGGCTCACATGACACAACACACATGACTCATGTGACACAACACATACATGACTCAAATGACAACTTCACAACACACAAGACTCACATGACTCAGATGCCATAACACACACGACTCACATTACAACACATACATGACTCACGACACAACACACCTGACTCACATGACACAACACATACATGACTCTCATGAGATAAGACACTTACATGACTCACATGACACAACACATGCATGACTCACATGACACAACACATACATGACTCACATGACATAAGACACATACATGACTCACATGACACAACACACCTGACTCACATGACACAACACACCTGACTCACATGACACAACACATACATGACTCTCATGAGATAAGACACTGACATGACTCACGTGACACAACACATGCATGACTCACATGACAACACATACATGACTCACAACACATCACACCTGACTCACATGACACAACACATACATGACTCTCATGAGATAAGACACTTACATGACTCACATGACAACACATGCATGACTCACATGACACAACACATACATGACTCACATGACATAAGACACATACATGACTCACATGACACAACACATTCATGACTCACACGCCATAACACACATGATGCACATTACGGCATATACATGACTCACATGACAACACTCACATGTCAACAATACATGACTCACATGACACAACACATACATGACTCTCATGAGATAAGACACTTACATGACTCACATGACACAACACATGCATGACTCACATGACACAACACATACATGACTCACATGACAAGACACCTACATGACTCACATGACACAACACATTCATGACTCACATGCCATAACACACATGATGCACATTACGGCATATACATGACTCACATGACAACACTCACATGTCAACAATACATGACTCACATGATGCAACACACATGGCTCAAATGACAACACGTACATGTCTCACATAATACAACACACATGACTCACGTGACAACACACAGATGACTCACATAACACAACACATACATGACTCACGGCACAACACACATGGCAAATGCATGACACACAACATACACATGACACATACTACACACTCATGATTCACACAACACAACACATGCCTCACACGACACACACATATAACACACTCACTGCACACACTAGACTTGTTTGACCTACTACACACATTGAACACACATAACACACATATAAAATCTTATTTTCTTGTTGAGTTAAAATTTGAGTACTGCATACAAACTGCTGTTATGAAAAACACAAGTTGTTCATGGCTTTGTTTATTTTGTGTTTAATTCACCCAGAAATGGACAACTTTTTACCTGCTAAGAGCTGTGTGATTGTCCTGATTTCAGCTGTGGACTGTTCACCGCCAGAAGTTCATCTTCTCCCTTACACAACACATGAACTGGGTGCGCTGTGCCAGGTATGTCTAGTGGGAGGCAGATGCATCTGTACACGTGGCTACACGATACATAGAGGACATGGTTATAGAGCACCTGTGTCTTACCTTGGTCTGTTGGGAGTCATATCCATTGCTAGCACCCAACTACTCTACTCTAGCTTTACACCAAATAAGATGACAACAAATTTGAGACACTCCTAATTTATTTTATATGCATTTCAACACAACTTGACCAGTCTATATTAAGTGATTGGCAAGCAATTTGTAAATCATGAAATACGACAAGTCTGTCCCTGTATGAGAGGAGCGACTGTCTTGTGTACTTGTATATGTTTGCTGCAGGTTTTCCCCGGACAATCGGTTGCTGGTGTCCGGAAGTGATGACAAGACAGTCCGGCTGTGGGACAGACAGAGCAAGGAGTGTGTCCACACTTTCTATGAAACTGGAGGGTGAGCTGACAGTGGTGGAAATACCCAATGTACCATACATGAGATCTGAAAGGAATTGTTTCATCCTGCATGTTGTCAACCCTTTAAAGTGGAACTATGGAATAACAAACTATCATGGCCTACATTGTGCCACTTTGGTGTTTCCATTCAATGGTGTGTCAACTCCCCAGAGCATGACCCTTGTGTGTTTGTTATGTCTATTGCTATGTAGTGTGTATATATGCTGATCTGTGGATGTTTGTGATGTAGGTTTGTGAACCACGTGGAGTTCCACCCGAGCGGCACCTGTATCGCCTCAGCCAGCACTGATGGAGGAGTCAAAGTATGGGACATCAGGATGAACAAGATACTGCAGAACCATGTTGGTACGTTGTCCCAAGACAGTCGATATATTGTATACTGCAGAACCATGTTGGTACGTTGTCCCAAGACAGTCGATATATTGTATACTGCAGAACCATGTTGGTACGTTGTCCCAAGACAGTCGATATATTGTATACTGCAGAACCATGTTGGTACGTTGTCCCAAGACAGTCGATATATTGTATACTGCAGAACCATGTTGGTACTTTGTCCCAAGACGGTCGATATATTGTATGTAGTGTCTGTTGTCAAGTTGTCCTTTGTCATAACGTACATGGTTGAAAGAGTTTCAATCTCACTTCTGATCAGCATTATGTAAAGCTGTGACAATTATCTTCAACTTACAGACTGGAATATTTGTTGTGTACAGTATTAACAAAACCAGATATCCCATGTATTTGACGCTTGTGTTTCCCCAGCTCACACTGCCGCCGTCAACAGCCTGTCCTTCCACTCCAGTGGCAACTACCTCCTCACTGGTTCTGACGATGCCACGGTCAAGATATTCGACCTGTTGGAGGGCAGGATCTTCTACACTCTACACGGCCATCAGGTAGTGGTCAAACAACTCACTTTGCCCTGTTGGGTACTCTCAAGACTGAAGGCATGGGTGCGAATTACATGGTTGTAGGTGTGAATTACATGGTTGTAGGTGCGAATTACATGGTTGTAGGTGCGAATTACATGGGTGTAGGTGCGAATTACATGGTTGTAGGTGCAAATAACATGGTTGTGGGTGTGAATTACATGGTTGTAGGTGTGAATTACATGGTTGTAGGTGCAAATTACATGGTTGTAGGTGTGAATTACATGGGTGTAGGTGCGAATTACATGGGTGTAGGTGCGAATTACATGGGTGTAGGTGCAAATTACATGGTTGTAGGTGTGAATTACATGGGTGTAGGTGCGAATTACATGGGTGTAGGTGCAAATTACATGGTTGTAGGTGTGAATTACATGGTTGTAGGTAGGAATTACATGGGTGAAGGTGTGAATTACATGGTTGTAGGTGCCAATTACATGGGTGTAGGTGCGAATTACATGGGTGTAGGTGCAAATTACATGGTTGTAGGTGTGAATTACATGGGTGTAGGTGCGAATTACATGGTTGTAGGTGCGAATTACATGGTTGTAGGTGGGAATCACATGGTTGTAGGTGCAAATTACATGGTTGTAGGTGGGAATTACATGGTTGTAGGTGCCAATCTCATGGTTGTAGGTGCGAATTACATGGTTGTAGGGGTGAATTACATGGTTGTAGGTGCGAATTACATGGTTGTAGGTGCGAATTACATGGGTGTAGGTGGGAATTACATGGGTGTAGGTGGGAATTACATGGTTGTAGGTGGGAATTACATGGTTGTAGGTGGGAATTACATGGCTGTAGGTGCGAGTTACATGGGTGTAGGGGCGAATTACATATGGTTGATTACATGGTTGTAGGTGGGAATTACATGGGTGTAGGTGGGAATTACATCGGTGTAGGTGGGAATTTCATGGGTGTAGGTGGGAATTACATGGTTGTAGGTGGGAATTACATGGTTGTAGGTGGGAATTACATGGGTGTAGGTGGGAATTACATGGGTGTAGGTGGGAATTACATGGTTGTAGGTGGGAATTACATGGGTGTAGGTGGGAATTACATGGTTGTAGCTGCGAATTACATGGTTGTAGGTGGGAATTACATGGTTGTAGGTGGGAATTACATGGGTGTAGGTGGGAATTACATGGGTGTAGGTGGGAATTACATGGTTGTAGGTGGGAATTACATGGGTGTAGGTGGGAATCACATCGGTGTAGGTGGGAATTACATGGGTGTAGGTGCAATTACATGGGTGTAGGTGTGAATTACATGGTTGTAGGTGCGAATTACATGGTTGTAGGTGGGAATTACATGGTTGTAGGTGGGAATCACATCGGTGTAGGTGGGAATTACATGGGTGTAGTCGGAATTACATGGTTGTAGGTGTGAATTACAAGGGTGTAGGTGGGAATTACATGGTTGTAGGTGCAAATTACATGGGTATAGGTGTGAATTACATGGTTGTAGGTGCGAATTACATGGTTTTAGGTGCGAATTACATGGTTGTAGGTGCGAATTACATGGGTGTAGGTGCGAATTACATGGGTGTAGGTGCAAATTACATGGTTGTAGGTGTGAATTACATGGGTGTAGGTGCAAATTACATGGTTGTAGGTGTGAATTACATGGGTGTAGGTGCGAATTACATGGTTGTAGGTGCGAATTACATGGGTGTAGGTGGGAATCACATGGTTGTAGGTGCAAATTACATGGTTGTAGGTAGGAATTACATGGTTGTAGGTGCCAATCTCATGGTTGTAGGTGCGAATTACATGGTTGTAAGGGTGAATTACATGGTTGTAGGTGCAATTACATGGTTGTAGGTCTGAATTACATGGGTGCAGGTGTAATTACATGGGTGTAGGTGCAGAATTACATGGTTTGTAGGTCTGCGGATACATGGTTGTAGGTGGGAATCACATGGTTGTAGGTGCAAATTACATGGTTGTGAGGTGGGAATTACACGATTGTAGCTGCCAATCTCATGTGGTTGTAGGTCAGAATTACATGGTTGTAGAGTGTGAATCACATGGTGTAGGTGTGAATTACATGGTTGTGGAGATTGGGAATTACATGGGTGTAGGTGGGAATTACATAGGTGTAGGGTGGGAATTACATGGTTGTAGGTGGGAATTACATGGTTGTGGGTGGGAATTACATGGGTGTAGGTCTGAATTACACATGGGTGTAAAGGCGGAGTACATACATGGGTGTGAGTTACATAGGTGTAAAATTACATGGTTGTAGGTGACGAATGACATGGGTGTAGGTGCGAATTACATGGTTGTGAGGTGAGAATTACATGGTTGCAGGTAGGAATTACATGGGTGTAGGTGGGAATTATGGTTGTAGGTGGGAATTACATAGGTGTAGGTGCAGAATTAAATGGGTGTAGGTGTGAATTACATGGTTGTAGGTGTGAATTACATGGTTGTAGATTATGAATTACATGGGTGTAGGTGGGAATCACATGGTTGTAGGGTGGAATTACATGGTTGTAGAGTGGGAATTACATGGTTGTAGGTGGGAATTACATGTGGTTGTAGGTGGAATTACATGGTTGTAGGTCTGAGAATTACATAGGTGTAGTGGGAATTACATATGGTTGTAGTCAGGAATTACATGGGTGGGAAGTAGAGTTACATGGTTGTGCTTAGAATTACATGGTTGTGAAGTGGGAATTACATGGTTGTAGGTGTGAATTACATGGGTGTAGGTGCAAGTACATGGTTGTAGGTGGAATTACATAGTTTGTAGGGTAGAATTACATGGGTGTAGGTGGGAATCACATGGTTGTGAAGTGGTAGTACATGGGTGTGATTATTACATGGGTGTAGGTGGGAATTACATGGTTGTAAGGTGTGATTACATATATGGTTGTGGGTGGGAATTACATGGTTGTAGGTGGGAATCACATGGTTGTAGGTAGGAATTACATGGGTGTAGGTGGGAATTACATGGTTGTAGGTGTAGGAATTACATGGGTGTAGGTAGAATTACATGGTTGTAGGTGTGAATTACATGGGTGTAGAGGTGAGAATTACATGGTTGTAGGTGCAATTACATGGTTGTAGGTGGGAATTACATGGTTGTAGGGTACCAATTACATGGGTGTAGAGTGGGAATTACATGGGTGTAGGTGGGAATTACATGGTTTGTAGGCAGAATTACATGGGTGTAGGTGTGAATTACATGGTTGTAGTGTGAATTACATGGTTGTAGGTCTTGAGTACATGGGTGTAGGTGGGAATTACATGGTGTAGAGGGTGTGAATTACATGGGTGTAGGTGGGAATTACATGGTTGTAGGTGGGAATTACATGGATTGTAGGAGTGGTAGGAATCACATGGGTGTAAGTGAAGTCACAATGGTGTAGGTGGAAGTGGTATGGTTGTAGGTCACGAATTATTATGTAGGTGTGAGATTACGCGCGGGGTGTGTAGGTGGAACATAGGTGTGGGTGAAATTACATGGTTGTAGGGAATTACATGGTTGTAGGTGAGAGATTACATGGGTGTAGGTGTAGAATTACATGGGTGTAGGAGTGCAAGAATTACATGGTTGTGGAGGTGGGAATTACATGGGTGTAGGTGGGAATTACATGGTTGTAGCTAGGGAATACATGGTTGTAGGTGGGAATTACATGGTTGTAGGTGGGAATTACATGGTTGTAGGTGGGAATTACATGGGTGTAGGTGGGAATTACATGGTTGTAGGTGGGAATTACATGGGTGTAGGTGGGAATTACATGGGTGTAGGTGGGAATTACATGGGTGTAGATGTGAAATTACATGGTTGTAGGTGCGAATTACATGGTTGTAGGTGCAGAATTACATGGTTGTAGAGTGGGAATCACATGGTCCGTGTAGAGTGAGATTACATGGTTGTAGGTGGGAATTACATGGTTGTGGAGTGGGAATTACATGGGTGTAGGTGGGAATTACATGGGTGTAGGTGGGAATTACATGGTTGTAGGTGGGAATTACATGGGTGTAGGTGGGAATTACATGGTTGTAGCTGCGAATTACATGGTTGTAGGTGTGAATTACATGGTTGTAGGTGGGAATTACATGGGTGTAGGTGGGAATTACATGGGTGTAGGTGGGAATTACATGGTTGTAGGTGTGAATTACATGGTTGTAGGGTGGGAATTACATGGGTGTAGGTGGGAATCACATGGGTGTAGGATTAGTCAGAATTACATAGGTGTAGAGTGGGAATTACATGGTTGTAGGTGTCATGGGTGTGAGTGGGAATTACATGGTTGTAGGTGGGAATTACATGGTTGTAGGTGGGAATCACATGGGTGTAGGTGGGAATTACATGGAGTGTAAGGTCTGAATTACATGGTTGTAGGTGTGAATTACAAGGCGTAGGTGGGAATTACATGGTTGTAGGTGCACAAATTACATGGGTATAGGTGGAATTACATGGTTTAGGTGTGAATTACATGGGTTTAGGTGTGAATTACATGGTTTGTAGGTGCCAATTACATGGTTGTAACTCTGCCAATTACATGGTTGTGGAGTGTGAATTACATGCTTGTAGGTGGGAATTACATGGGTGTAGGTGGGAATTACATGAGGTGTAGGTGGGAATTACATATGGTTGTAGGTGTGAATTACATGGGTGTAGGTGGGAATCACATGGTTGTAGGTGGGAATTACATGGTTGTAGAGTCACAGATACATAGTTGTAGGTGGGAATTATGGTTGTAGGTGGGAATCATGACCGCGCAGAGTGGGAATTACATATGGGTGTAAGTGGGAATTACATGGTTGTGAGTGTGAATTACAAGGGTGTAGGTGGGAATTACATGGTTGTAGGATTACAAATTACATGGGTATAGGTGTGAATTACATATGGTTGTAGAGTCTGAATTACATACGGTTTAGGTCAGCGAATTACATGGTTGTAGGTGCCAATTACATGTAGGGTGTGGGTGTGCAGATATATGGAGTGTAGGGGTG